TTTTTTTGAGACAGAGTCTTGCTCTATTGCTCAGGCTGGAGTGCAGTGGCACAATCTCAGCTCACTGCAACCTCCGCCTCCCAGGTTCAAGCAATTCTCCTGCCTCAGCCTTCTGAGTAGTGGGACTACAGGCACATGCCACCACGCTTGGCTAACTTTTTGTATTTTCAGTAGAGTTGGTGTTTCACTGTGTTAGCCAGGATGGTCTCAATCTTCTGACCTTGTGATCCACCCGCCTTGGCCTCCCAAAGTGCGGGGATTACAGGCATGAGTCACTGCGCCTGGCCCCTCATGAACACTCTTATACCCATAACCTGTATTCCAGCATTTTGATAAGCTCACTTTACCACATATCTGTCCATCTGTCCATCCTTGTAGCCATTCATTAGAACATCTTATTTTTAGATGCATTTCAAAGTAAATTGCAGACATCAGTATGCCTCCTCCTCAATAAGTATCATTAATTAGATGGATCTACATAAGTAGAGGTATATTGTTAACTAGAATCCAATATTTGTTTATATGTACTTTTAATAAGAGTATTACGATACAGTGAAATGTGCAAATCTTAAGTGTGCATTTGCTGAATGTTGATAAATGCGCATACCTGTGTAACCTAGGCTTTTATTAAGATACAGATATTAAAAATAATAAGAACATATTGGAAAAAGTAGGTTCTTCAGAAAAATGCTAGTGACATAGTATTGATACAGATGTAACTAAGAAGCTGATTAAATTATTAAATAGCAACTAAGAATGGCTATTTTGTTAAGCTTTTAAATATTCAGGTAGTTGCAATAGTAAGATTTTAAAATTTTTGTTTTAATGTACTTAGGTATATGTTATTTTTTAAACAAATTTTGTTCATTTTTGGTAGGTATTTTTAACTTTTTATTTTGATACAATTTCCAACTCACAGAAAAGTTGCAACATTAATACAAAGACATTTTGTACACTGTTTCTGCAGATTCACTCAATTTTTATATTTCGATACATTTATTTTTGTTTTTATATATTTTTGTTTTTATATTTTGCCACATTTTTGTTTTTATATGTTTGCATATATATGTGTTTTTATATATTTTTATGTTTTAAAATATATTTTGTTTTTATGTGTATGTGTATATATATGCACACATACATATATACACTCACATGTGCATATACACACACATATATACATACGCATATCTAAATATACACATGTGTATATACATTTTATATATGCATATATGTACGTACATGCACATATACATACATGTATCTAAATACACACACGCGTGCGCGCGCGCACACACACACACACACACACACACACATATTTTAATTGAGATAAAGTCTCATTGTGTTGCCCCGGCTGGTCTTGAACTCTTGGACTCAAGCAATCCTGCCAACTCAGCCCGCTAAAGTGTTGGGATTACAGGTGTGAGCCACTGTGCCTGACCACATTTGTTTTATCATGTTTATTATGTGTATATATGCACACACAAAAAGCATGATAAAACAAATGGACATTTGTGTGTGTGTGTATTATGTATATATATCATACACATTTTTGCGTATATATACACACACATATTTTTGCATAGATATTTATGTGTGTATATACATACACAAATAGTATATATATACACATACTATATAATATCTATTATATATTATGTACACAAAATATATATATTTTGTATGCACTATATACTATATAATATGTAATATATATATAATTCTCAGAGCCACTTGACTATAGGTTGAACATATATCCCTTTGTCCTTTAATACTCAATTATATATGAAATAATTTTATTTTTAAAAATAGTCTTCGAAGCAAACTGTCTTATATGTTGTCTTACGTGTTTATACCAATATAATGAAACTAAGTTATCACTCAATAAATATTTCAAAAAACTGTATCATTTTAGTGTTCATTTATTTCAGTGTCCTTGTCTGGAAAGTGGTTTGTATAGTTCTCCTAACAATAAGACCAAAGTAGGCACTCAATAAATAATTTTTGAGTGATTGAATTGGTGGCCTCCCAGTGTTGTCTTTCACCTGTATGATGAACTGGTGTGTTATGAAATCCATAAATCACACTTGCTCCCCTTATGCCATGTACAGGCCTAGTAGAATATATATGTGAAGTGACTTAGACATTGAAACAAAATATGATTGATAAAGAATATATTTTAAAAACCTAAAAACATTACAGTATTTTTTATATGACTTGGCAGGTTCCAGGGCGTTTTTAGCATCATGGCATGGGATGGACTTTAGACACACATGATTTGGTCCAACTGCTTATTTTATGGAAGAGAAAACTCATGCCCACAATTAAGTCCTTAAAAAAGTAGGACAGTGCCTGTTGACCACTGGGCTCGTGACTTCATTATAACCTTGAAGATTTGATTAGTGAGTAATTTAGTAATGAGTTATCAGAACTATGTTATTTATTTTGTGAACATAATAGTAAATTGTATTCCCAAAAAACAAGAGGCAAAGTGTTTAATTTTTTAGTTTCACGAGGAACATGAGAACTTACTTATTTTTTAAAGTTTTGAAGACAAGGTGACAGTGTTAGGTGTATAAAGAGCCTCACAGACTGAGCACGGTGGCTCATGCCTATAATCCCAGCACTTTGCAAGGCCAAGGTGGGTGGATCGCATGAGGTCAGGAGTTCAAGAACAGCCTGGCCAACATGGCGAAACCCCATGTTTACTGAAAATACAAAAATTAGCTGGGCATGGTGGTGCATGCCTGTAGTCCCAGCTACTTGGGAGGCTGAGGCAGGAGAATCACTTGAACCCAGGGGGCAGAGTTTGGAGTGAGCTGAGATCACACTACTGTACTCCAGCCTGGGTGCCAGAGCGAGACTATATCTCAAAAAAAAAAAGAAGTTCAGATAACTTCTAAATTTTGAAAAACATTGAAAAATGCAGTAAGTTATGTTCTATTTATTACCTTTTTCATTTTAGTATTCTGAAGAAGCCAATAATCTCATTGAAGAATGTGAACAAGCTGAACGACTTGGAGCAGTGGATGAATCTCTGAGGTCTGAATATATTTTTCAGCACTATTTCATGTTTCTTTATATCACATATTAACTTAAAAATAATAATGTTATTTATTTTCTTTGTTTGAAGTGAGGAAACACAGAAAGCTGTTCTTCAGTGGACCAAGCATGATGATTCTTCAGATAACTTCTGTGAAGCTGATGGTATAATATTTTTTATGCATTATGTTTAAAATTATACCTAAGAAAATATTTTTTAAAAATTATTTAAATCTGGGCATGGTGGCTTGTGCCTGTAGTCCCAGCTTTTCTGGAGGCTGAGGCAGGAGAATCACTTGAGCCCAGGTGTTTGAATCCACACTGGGCAACATAGCAAGACCCCATCTCAGAAAAAAGTTATTAAAGAAAAAAACTCAGTTTCTAACAGTTTGATGATTCTTCAAAAACCTAAACATGGAATTAGCATATGACAACAGTTCCTTTCCTAGGTATGTATTAAAAAAAATTAAAGACAGGGACTCAAACAGATAGCAAAGCAATGTTCATTGTAGCCTAAAAGTCATAACAACCCAATTGTTCAGCACTGTTTGAATGGATAAACAAAATGTGGTATATAATGTACACAATGGAATACTATTCAGCCAGAAAAAGGAATGAAGTTCTGATACATGCTACGACATGGATGGACCTTGACAGTATGCTAAGTGAAATAGGTCAGACACCAAAGGACAATTATTAAATGATTCCACTTTTATGAAATGTCAAGAGTAGGCAAATTCATAGAGACAGAAAGTAGACTAAAGTTTTTCAGAGGTTGTGGTGGGTAGGCGTTATTGCTGAATGGTTAGAGTTTCTGTTTAAGGTGCTGGAAAAGTTTTGGCAACAGATAGTGGTGATGGATGCACAGCATTGTAAATATAATGAATCCCACTGAATTGTTTACTTAAATGTGGTTAAACTGTAAATTTTATTATACCTATTTTACCACAGTTTAAAAGAACTCAATTTCTAGAAAAAAATTACCGCTTAAGTTTTGCATATATATATAGCTAATAGTTTATATAATTTCGTATATACATTTTGCATAAATAGCTAAAATGTAGGGATTACAAAAACCTGCTTCAGTTATATTGCTGTTGGATTGTCAGGTATTTTCCTTAAAGATGGTCCATGTTGCTTTTGGAGAAGAGAATATTGAACCATTAGCCAAGTTTGTGATGTCTAAAATTAAGCCAGAATGCTGGTGCTGTTAATCTAGGAGCCCTGGAATTCATTAAAACTCTGATCATGGCACGGTAGCTCATGACTGTAATCCCAGCTACTCAGGAGGCTGAGGCAGGAGAATCGCGAGAACCCAGCAGGTGGAGGTTGCAGTGAGCCAAGATTGCGCCACTGCACTGGAGCCTGAGCAACAGAGTGAGACTCCATCTCAAAAAAAACAAAAACAAAACCTCTGATCAAGACTTACGGATTTTCCAGTTCTTCCTTTTTCTAGTATTTCCTTTTTCTAAGTTGAATTGTTAGTCTCTTAAGTGGCTAAAAAAATCAATTTGAGTTTTGGTATTCTTCTGTGGCTCTTTTCTAGTGGACTAATGATGTTCAAAAATTAGTGAAAATAGGCCTGGCTTGGTGACTCACGCCTGTAGTCCCAGCACTTTGGGAGACCAAGGAGGGAAGATTGCTGAGTCTAGCCTGGGCAACATGGGAAAAGTCTGTCTCTACAAACAACATAAAAATTGGCCAGGCCAGTAGTCCTAGCTACTCAGGAGGTGGCTGGGGAGGTGGGAGGATTACTTGAGCCTGGTAGGTTGAGACTGGAGTGAGCCATGATTGCACCACTGTATTGTAAGCCTAGGACAGAGAGATCCTGTATCAGAACAACAGCAGCAACAACATATTAGTGAATACAATGATATAAATTCTTTTAATTATAAGCAAAAGATGAAGTCCACAGTCTCCATAAAAGATAAAGTATTTTTAATTTTGTGGCATCTTTTTGGGGAAAATTGCTTTCCTTAATGGAGACAGTAGCCATGTTTTGGTGTATACTTAGTTATAATTCCTTATTTCCCATTCTAAAATCTGAAAACTCTGAAAACTGAACATTTCTCCCCCTGAGTTTAGCACAGGCTCATTTAGTGTGAGTATTCATACGTTTCACTGTAGAAATATTTATGTGTTTGAATACAGCTTGCTGCCCCACGTCAAGCTGGAGTAATATTCAATATATTTTTCATGTACTGTATTACCTTTGTAAAATCTGGAAAGTTCCCCATTCCATCCAAGACCCATATGGTCCCAGGCACGTTGGGTAAGGGGTGTAGACCTATATCAAGATTTGAACTGGTAAAGGAAGGTGATATGATGTTCTCCCAACACCCTTATTTTGCTATCTTTTCTACAAGGTTTTTTTTTTTTTTTAACCTTAAATATTGTTGTGAGATAAAAGTAAATTTATAATATGCAGCTGTAAGTTTTTTAGTCCTCCAGTGTTAGAAAAAGAATGGTAATATTTTAACTTTCATTAAAAAGCATCCTTTGGAGACTACAATGTGCTGCACCAAGTGGGAATCAGTGATTCATTTCTTATATATAGGTAGTGTTTGGTGAAATCACTTGCCCATTTGTATTAGTTTCTTCCGTTAAAAAAAGATGAATATTTTAAAGAAAGCTTTAGCAGGAATAAATAATGGATGTAAATGGAACGTGAAATATAGAAGGTATTTTCAAAATCCTAATTGGAAATTTGAGCTTTTGTCAAAAGCAGGTTCTAGTCAGTGATAGAAAACAACACATCATACAGGTTTTTGCAGGACATATGTTTTCTGCTTCTAGGGCTGGATATCAGCATCTTTCTGTAAGGGCCAAATGGACTCTGAAATGCCTTTCCTTAGATTCTACAAAATGTGTTTGACTAGTTTTCTATGGAAAAATTCAGGTTCCATTCAGTGATAGGAACCAGCGCATCATAAAAATTCTTGGCACAAATATAATTATAGTAATATTTAATATAATTATTGTAATATTTTAAATATATTTGTATAATTAAACTATAATATAATTGTACTATTTGTAGTATAATTATAATTAATATAGTAATATTTACTTTTTATAAGCTTGAAGTATTTATAGTAAGTAAAATTATAAGGCAACAAATGTTTATCTCTAGGTAGAATATTTAAACATTTAATCATTTCTTGGTGGTTAGTTTTCTTAAAGTACTGGATACTGGCCATTATTTACATATTTTAAACATCAGGGTTTAAGAAATGAATTTATTATAATTTACTATATGTGGCAATTGCCTTTAGTATTAATTGAAATGAACAGTTATCCATTCCTGAACTAGAAGATTCCGTCCTAATTCGATTTTTAAGTCCTATATTTTGTTTTTCTAGTTATTTTAATTGCCACTTCTGCATTGAACTCTGCTATTTTAAGATGCTGTCATTGTACTGCTTCTAGAAGCAATGTTCCCCCTAATTTATGCTTCTAATATACTGTTAATTGGAGTAAAAATAACAAAGCTTAGGGTATTTTTTTTTGTATTTGTTTTTTAATAATAAAAATAGGTTTAGTTCAGAGCTTGATGGACTCTCCTGTAAGCACTTTTATGCTCATATTTTTGTCATTGACTGTGGTTGCATCAAGACTGTTTTTGTACACTTTTTCATTCTTTGTTGGCTCATACTGTTACGCTTTATATATGAATAAAGTATTATTATATTACCAAATAATTTCCCAAAGTCACTGGAGGACTATGGTCCATCTTTTTTTTGAGACAAGGTCTCACTCTCTTGCCCAGGCTGGAGTGCCGTGTGGTGCAATCACGGCTCACTGCAGCTTGGACCTCCTGGACTCAAGCGACTCTCCCACCTCAGCCTGCTGAGTAGCTGGGACCACAGGCACATGCCATGATGCTTGGCTAATTTTTGTATTTTTTATTGATGCTTGGTGTTTCACCATGTTGCCCAGACTGATCTTGAATTCCTGGGCTCTACCCTCAGGCCTCCCAAAGTAATCTACCCGCAAGCCTCCCAAAGTACTGGGATTACAGGCATGGGCCATTGGGCCTGGCCTGGGGCCATGTTTTTTGTTTTGAAGTTGTAACACATTATAAATGATAAATAAGTAACAGGGTCTGGATTCTAATCTGGGTGTTCTGTCTCCAAAGCCCATGGTCTAACTCTTCTGTAATGTTGGGTGTTTAGGTTGCATCCAATTTTCCCTTTTATAAATGATGCTGACACAGAAACATTTCTGCACTGTAACTTTTGCTTTATGCCAGGTTGGTAGCAGATCCTGCTGGTAGTCATCTAAGAAGAAAGTGTTTGGTAACAAGCAATGTGCGATACTAATACTCCTTAATTTACTGTAGTTATTGATGAACTACTATAGTTAATGTGAAGGGAAGTGCATGTTGTGTGCTTTGTCTGGATAGCTTGTGAGAATTGAATTACTATGTTTCTTTGATTCTAAAATTCACATATTTCTATTTTTACAATTCCTAAAATCATCATAATGTTTTTGTAGCCAGTGTGTACAATTAGTGTGGCTGTGTGTGTTTCTCTCTCTTTTCCTTCCTTTCTTTTCTTTTTTTTTAGACAGTCTTGCTCTGTTGCCCAAGCTGGAGCACAGTGGCGTGATCTCAGCTCACTGCAGCCTCCACCTCCCGGGTTCAAGCGATTCTCCTGTTGCAGCCTCCCAAATAGCTGGGACTATAGGCATGCACCACCACACCTGGCTAATTTTTGTATTTTTAGTAGAGACAGTGTTTCACCATGTTGGCCAGGCTGCCTTCCAACTCCTGACCTCAAGTGATATGTGGCTCTTTGCCTCCCAAAGTGCTGGGTGTAATTACAGGCATGAGCCACTGCACCTGGCCTCCTTCCTTTCTTTGTCCTGAAAAGTTGTTTTAAAATCCCTGACACATTGTTATATTTGTGGTGCCTTAGCATCAATGGAATATAGTCTAGTATACTAGCTTTTTAAAGTAACTGAGGATAAGAAAGATTTAATAAGACATTTTATTTTACAGACATTCAGTCCCCTGATGCTGAATATGTAGATTTGCTTCTTAATCCTGAGCGCTACACCGGTTACAAGGGACCAGATGCTTGGAAAATATGGAATGTCATCTATGAAGAAAACTGTTTTAAGTATGTGTCATTTTCATTTAGAAAAATTCCTGTAAGATGTGATTTCTTTTTATAAACAAAATCATAATGATTTAAAATTAAATATCAAATTCACTTTGTTGAAAGATGTATTTCTACAAGGAAACATGACTATTCATTAATCCAGTTTCTTTCTGGGGAAATATACAGATATGAGTTTCCACAAATTTTTCCTTTTTTTTTTTTTTTCAGAGTTAGAGGAGTATTAGACTTTTATGGAAGTATTGTAGGTACTTGACAAATGTTCCTTGAGTAGATGACAGGATCTTATTTTACAGATGAGATAACCAGGAGCTGGAGAGGTTTGCTTCATTTTCCAAGATCACATGGTTAGTGACAGTGTAGAGAAAAGAATCTATAACTCTTAAATTCTCTTTTTGGTGCTCTGTACTCCCCTTTCTGTGGCTTTGGTTGTTTTGCAGTTAAATTGATTCCAGAGAACAATTATAATAGGTAACATTTTTGAGCGCTCACTGTATTCTAGGCATTGTGCTAAGCATGTTACATACATTTGCTCCTTTAGTCCTTGCAGTACCCTTTGGTGTGGTCATCACTGTTTCATAGACAGAGAAACAGACTTTGAGGGGTTAAATGATTTGTTCAGTGTCAACTAGTAAGTGAAGAGCCCACTTTGTACTGGGTAACCATTATGCTGGAGGCAGTTGCTGGTCACTGGGTGTCTGAGAAATGCTTCAAGTTACTCACATGTAAGCCTTGAGGTGCTAAACAGTGCACTTACTTGTTTTTGGAAAGAATGTATGTGCGAGCATGTTGTGCTATCTCAGAGAGGGAAAGAGTTCTGGGAAAATTTTTAGGGTCCCAAATACGGGATAATATTATATATTTCACTTTTTATAAGTCAAACATAAATATGACATCAGTAATTATGCTTACACCAATAAAATGTCATACTGTGGTGTTTTTTTTTGACTTGAAGAATTTCTCTTAATTACTTATTTATGCCATGTCTTTTATTTATCTTATTACTAGAAATGTTTGATTTACTGACTTAATGATTTACTTTAAAGGTTTTTGTTGTTGTTGCTGTTTTTCTTTTTTTTTTTTTGTTTTTTTTTTTTTTGTGCATGCTTTGAGATGGATCCTGTGTTTTCTCCTTTTATTTTTTTTATTTTTTTTTTTTTTTTGGATAGTCTCTGTCATTCAGGCTGGAATGCAGTGACGTCATCTCTGCTCACCGCAACCTCTGCCTCCCAGGTTCAAGTGATTCTCCCGCCTCCGCCTCCCCAGTAGCTGGAACTACAGGCATGCACCATCACGCCTGGGTCATTTTTGTATTTTTAGTCGAGACAGGGTTTCACCATGTTGGCCAGGCTGTTCTTGACTCTTGACCTCAGGTGATCCACCCACCTTGGCCTCCCAAAGTGCTGGGATTGCAGGCGTGAGCCACTGCACCTGGCCCTGTTGTTGTTTTTTTTAATGTGAATTAAGAATCCATGAAGCATTTGTTAGATCTGTATTAGTTTTATAGTCATTTTCGTACTAATTAGTATCCTGATTCTCATGATTTGTAATATAAACAATGTATATGGGGCTAAGTTAATCATATGGTATATTTTAAAATATAGCTTGCATATTCTGTTCTCAAAATGTCTTCAGTTGTGCAGATTTTTAAAATGGATGTTAAAACAATCCCTATAGTTTACTAATAATCTAATGCATATTTATTTTGGGATTTAAAAGCAGTTTAGTGACATATTAACTCTCCAGAAAATTTCTATTTTTTCCTACTGAACAAACAACTTTTATTTAAATTGTAACAAACTTAGCCACAGGGCAAATTGATGTGTCTAAAGATTACCTAAGTGGAAAATAACCTGTACTATTAAAAAAATTTTTTTTTAAATTTTAATGCTTATATTGATTATTTTTTGCTTGTCTTTCAATTGGGATACACTTTGTGCCATACATGCACATATACGTAGATATGTATATATAATACATATAAAAACATAGTAGTGACTCTAGAAGAGCTTGGCTGATACCCTCTCTTCTTTTGTTTAAAGAAGTGATTAGCAAATGACCTGCTGGCTGCTACAGTGGGAAAAGATCAGGAATTATTATCACTGAAACAAATAGCCACCTTCCCTTAAAGCAATTAGAGGAAACTAAATATTTTATAATCTCAATAAAACAATTTGATTTTGGATATTAAGCAACTTTCTGAGATAGTATCACTTAAATATAACATGATTGGTAACGTATTTGTGTTTACATTTTTAATTCTTTTTGTTTCTAGGCCACAGACAATTAAAAGACCTTTAAATCCTTTGGCTTCTGGTCAAGGTAAGTTACTTATTTGCATTGTTATATTATTTATCAGCTAGGGAACTTTGATTTGAAGGAAGGGGGGGCAAGATAAATGGCAGTAATAGTTGAGGTCACATAATCCACAGTCCTGTTTCCATAGAAGTTATGCTTCACCCTTGCAGAGATTGGTGCTTGAAATATTTGTACTTCAGTAAGGAGTATTTTTATAATGAAGTTCATGGTATTAGATTATCAGAGATTAGGATTAGATTATAAAGATTAGGATATATATTTATTCTTCTGTATATTTTTGCAGATACACTGTGTCCGTTTTTAAAAATTTTTACTCATCTCAGAGATAAATATACAAAACTCACAAATTTTTTCTAAAACTTGAAGTTACTGCATATATTGGGAGTTTGATTTCAACTTTACATGTCTTTAAATTGTAATAGCATTTTTAATACTCTATTTTCACTCAAGGTCTGGTTCAAATGCTGCTTTTTCCATAAAACTTTCCCTAGTCCTTATACCCAGAAGTAATTTCTTCTTCCTCATGAAGTAATCTTATGCATGTGTTACATGTAGTTTTTTTTGGCGGAGGGGGAAGGTAGGGGTGGGTGGAGTTTCACTCTTTGTTGCCTAGGCTGGAGTGCAGTGGCGCAGTCTTGGCCCACTGCAACCTCTGCCTCCCAGGTTCAAGTGGTTCTCCTGTCTCAGCCTCCCGAGTAGCTGGGATTACAGGCACCTGCCACAATGTCTGGCTAATTTTTGTATTTTTAATAGAGACAGTGTTTCACCATGTTGGCTGGGCTGGTCTCGAACTCCTGACCCCAGGTGATCCTCTGGCCTCGGCCTCCCAAAGTGCTGGGAACAGGTGTGAGCCACCACACCTGGCCATGTTTGTATTTTTAATTCTTTTGTTTTGCGGCCTTTTCCACTGTGTAGCATTATTTTATTATTATTGATATATCTATATATCTATTGATTTACCCCTGTACTCTGAACACATGGGTAGCATGTATCTGTTTTATCTCTCAACATAGAGCCTGACACATCATAGATGGAGTAGTTTGTTAGATACATGATCACTGAAAATTGTTCTCCTTATTGAACGATCTTGTCTACGACAGTGAAGTCAGTTGTTCTTTCAGCTAATGATTATCCACCATTTACTATGTGCTAGGCACTGTGTAGTTGCTAGAGGGGATGTAAAATTAAAATTTACAAAAACCCTGCCCAGTCTATAATATGAAGAATGGTTTGTTGAGTAAGCCATTTCAGTGTATGATTTCAGACTTTTTCTTTAGAAATGATATATCCTTAATATGTGCTTATTGATAAAATCTTTAATGTACTCTTAGCAAAAGTGCTTAGTTCTCATTTTAAAAATTTATTTGAAAAGACGCTTATCTCAAATAGTTAATACATATAAATTTCCTCCTAGAAGGAGATGAGATTGCATCATTCCCTAAATTCTGGGAGGTTTCTCTTAGATTAGAAACGAAAAAATCTTTAAATAAGGCTTTTGGGTTTATACAGTCACCTGTAGTGACTTGGTGGAAGCCATTGATTTAATATCAGATGAAATGCAAACTAATAGAAAAGAGGGGATCATTATGAACTCACATTATGATTTGATAAAGTAATTAACCACATCACTTACCATAAAGATACATAGGAACAATTTAAATGTTTATCGCTAGGAAACTGGTTAAATGACTTATGGTATAGTCACATAGTAGAAAATAGCCATTGTAAATGTGGCTGTAAATTTGTATTCATTTAAATGAAAAGTGACCAATAACACAGGAAAAGCAGGTATCAAAATAATATGTGTAATAAATTTTTATAAAAACATGACTAATATATCTATAAACAAAAAAGATATTCACTAAAATGTAAGTAGTATTTATCTTTGGGCTAGGTAATTATGAATACTTTATTGTCATCTTTTTTTAAAATGTATATTTGCAATGATTATATATTTCTTTAATAAACTGATGGCATTAAAAAAGTGGGCAAAATTTTCGAAGACAAATTTTCAGTAGTAAATAAGCAACTGCATACAAATTATTATGTATAATTTGAATCTTATAAATAGCCTGTGAAAATATTCCCAACTGAGGTTAAATATTATAAGGCCAGGCTAGAGGTTTCAAAGCAATAATAAAAATCTTTAATAGAAACTATATTATAGTTTTAGGATAAATAAATGTAGAAAAACTCTCTGCCAGTGAAATAAACATAGGTCCTTCAGCTATTGAAGAGTACTCTCAGGTGATGGATTATTTTTTTCTCTCCTGTCAGGCTATATTAAATCTTATGTGAGCTGAACTTCCTAATGCACACTCGTGGAGATAACACCATTTAGTGAAATCAGGCATAATTCATATCACCACCAGATAAAGTTGCAGTCACGAATGTCTTGCTTTCAGATTTTTCTTGTGTGAATGAACTGTTGGACTAAAACTAACCATTATTAAAGTCTTATTTTTATGAAAGTTTAGCATTATAAAAGGGATACTGGAAGTTTATTTTAATAAGCATTTTGTTTTGCTTTTCAGGGAAAAGTGAAGGTAAGTACTATTTCTTTATTACATATATGAAATTTGTTTATAGATTCAGATGTTTATTATGGCAAACTTCCCACCTCTAAAAATCAGAAGAACTTAATTTTTATTTATCTGAAAGTCTGGAGGTAGTAGCACAGGGTGAGGGAAAGTGACTTTTTGTGTCTGGGTTCAGGTGTTAGAAACAGTGTGCCTCAGCCTCTGATCATTCATTTGCACGTTTTACCTCCTGAATGTGGAAGCATGTCCACTCCCCACCTCCCCTATTGCCTCAGGCCAGGGAAACGTCCTCTGTCTTTTACTGGTTGAACTCTAGGATCTGCTGGGTTTCATGTAGGAAGGTTCTGGGCATGATGAGTGTTGATTCCAGAGCTGGCTTCTAAGGTTGATGCTGACTCGTGGATGTAGGTGTCATTGCCAGGTCTAACTAATGCTAACAATTTCAATATACTTTAGGTTGACTTTGTCTTTTTGCTTTAAGGGTGAAATTGAAATGACTTTTGTTATTCTTAAGACCGTATGCTCAACAATATGAAAAGACTTAATGACGCTTAGCTTTAGTCTATCTAGGTGAAATTGCTAAAATGTGAAGTATCACTTTTCTTTCCCTCAAAATCCTCTATTTTCCTAACGTAATTCTTATGAATTGCTTTTGGATTGTGTCTAAATAACAGAATACTAAAGTCTGATAACATTGCTATTTTATTATTATACTTTATATTATACTAACTGTAGCAGCTAAATAAAATGCTGAGTCAGACCTGTTTGGAAGAGAAATTGTTTAGTAGTGAGATTATTTTTCCAAAGATGTCTCATGTTTGCTACTGGTACATGTGATTCTATAATTTTCAGCTTTGAGTAACCTTATTCTCCCTTGGGCATCAACCTAGTTCTATGCTATATTCTAGCCACATTAGAGGAGGTTACTATGATTTTTCAATTCTATTTGAAGACCTCTTATTATCAGAAAAAAGATCATTAACCTGTGGGAGCCATCCTTAAAGAAACTGTCTTATTTATAAGTATTGATTTTGGCCAAATACCAAAGGGTTATTCCTGACAGCTATCATATTAAGTGATTGTTTAGACCACAGTCAGGTCAACTTGAGAATAGGTACTTCAGGATTATAATATTGAACTGATTCCTGGCAGGGCACAGTGGCTCACGCCTATAATCCCAGCACTTTGGGAGGCTAAGGCAGGCTGATCACTTGAGGCCAGGAGTTTGAGACCAGCCTGGCCAACATGGTGAAACCCTGTCTCTACTAAAAATACAAAAATTAGCTGGGTGGGGTGGCACATGCCTGTGATTTCAGCTATGCAGGAGGCTGAGGGAGGAGGATCACTTGAGGTTGGGAGGTGGAAGTTACACAGTGAGCCGAGATGGAGCCACTGCCCTCCAGCCTGGGTAACAGAGTGAGACTCTGTTTAAAA